CAAATATATAACAGAAATCTTAAATACATTAAAATATACATTACAGGTGTGTTGAATAAAGCTTCAGAGTAGCAGTTCACTAAAACTTCAAAGAGCGCCAAAAGTGTCAACAAATCACTCGGGACCATTCTGTCCGGGACCATTTTGGCAGGGGCCATTTTGTCCTACATCCTTATAGAATATCGTCCGAGTCTAAAAACACATCAGCATATGTAAGCATGTTCGGAATTTTTTTTTTTTAATTGTAGGGCTTTTAGGGGGGGGGGGGGGGGGGGGGGGTTGGTTGTTTTTGTCCGAAGTGACAAAAGATATATCTATAATCACTGAACGGAACATCAAGAGAGAATTAAATACAGGGCAGAACACGGACGGCACATGTTCCCTCCTGTTTATTACTCTTTTTTTTTTTTTTTAAGTTTTTAAAGTATACTTACGCACTCACCTCAGAAGATAACCATAGGAGTTTTCGCTAAGTAATTGGAACACCAATTACTGCGTAAATTAGGGCCCCGAGGAGCATGCTGGGCTTTTAGTCACACGTGCTGGAGTGTACATAGCTAATATTTGAAATGAAGAAGCTAAAAGAGATGACACGTTTCCCGTGCATTCGTAATTAGCGGCGAGATGTTTTGGTGGCGCCCTCCTATGGTTACCTCTGCTGACGTCATTACCTGGCGAACACCATTTAGATGGTGTTTGTAAAGAGCATGGTGGAAGCTTGAAATCATTGCACTCTGAAAGCAACGCTCCAAAGACCGTCAAAATTTAAGTTCTTACATTGGTCTTATTTCCGTCGATGGAAAATCCTTTGCTGACGTCATAGTCAGTATTTGGTCAATCGCAGAAGGCCGACCACAGCGACGCTATCGACCGCTCACGTTGCCAATAGACCTATCGCTAAATTACCCGAGCATCAAAGAGAATCTTGGGAACGTAGGTGCACGCGCTGCACGTGCTCGCCTTCCCCGTGGAAAAGATTCCGAGTAAATAACCAAAATAAAGCGTCCGTGGAACGCGCGTGCGGAGTGCCATTTGTTTTAGAGTTTTGCTTTCGAACAGTTGGAGCTGCGACGCCAGCACGCGCAGCGCGTGTATACCTACGTTCCCGGCATTCTTCTTGATCTCGGGTAATTCGGCAAAAGGTCTCTTGCCTTTTATACGCAAGACTGCCTTTTATACGCAAGCGCTCATGAAGGCACCCTAGCCCGTGCAACACGGGTACCTACAAACCCAGCATTTGCAAAACTAGCTTGTGCTTGCGTGCGTGCGCACGTGCACAGGCACGCACAAAACTGATTTTAATCATGTAGCATCTGTGGCGAGCATCTATGCACTATATCAACGCTGATGACTGGTCTGTATGGCAGGAAGGGGGAGGGGGATGAGCGGAGGTTACGTAACACGAATATGACGGTAAAGTAAGGCCTCGCCGTCAACATCTCCTCCATGCGAATTAGTGCATGGCTCGTATTCAATCGACGCGCGCGGGCGCGCTAAGTGAGGCTTGCACGTGCATCGACCATCTTTGCCCAAGGTGACAAAAGAAAATACACGAAAAAGAAGTTTCCTGGTAAACTGAGAGTAATACCCCCAGTACGCCGAAGGCGACCGTAAAGTGCCCCTTTGTTGTGTTCGGGGGGACCGAGAGGCGCTTCCCAGGCCGTGTTTGTGGGCGCCTTTCACTGCACCCATCCCCGTGTCCGTCAGCCCGGGGGCCAAAACGCGGCTCCCAAAGTCCCGCTTCGGGTTCCGGGAACCAGTTGGGTGCTGCTCCCTCCTCCTCTCCATCCCCAAGGTCGCGGCCGCGGCTTTTGTCACCCGTTCCCGGCACCGTCGTTCCCTGACAGCGAGCTCTCCGCGGAAAGAAATCCTGTTTGCACGACGCGGTGACGGCCTAAAAATCAATTATCGCCTTGTGGGCCGCGTTGGCGTGCTGCTGCGAGATTCGCAATAAACTGCAAAATTGCGGATGTCCAATTTTTTTTTTTTTTTTTTTTTCTGCGGACATATGCTTTGTGCGGTCTGCGGCCATGTTCGGAGCATATGTATGAGGGCAAACATGCTTCAGACGCGCTTGAGGCGTGTAAGCAGACGGTTCTGTATTCGTGTCCGCAGACCGCGTCACTTTTGTATAATGTACACGTGCAGTGGGACTTGAGATCTAGACATCCGATGTTCTCTAACTTGCGGCGTGGTGAATAGCATGCGACCGTGAAGAATTAACTCGCTAACTATCCGACGTGTTTACTGGCAACATGGCGTCAGTAAAAAGAAAAAAAAAATTAGAAAAATGTACGCGTTTTATTCTGTACCGTCATCAGCCCGTGGAATCGTAATGTCCAGCGAGCGAACGTAGCTCTTAGGGCCGTATACGAACCCCCGTAATGTTACGTTAATCATTTGGCACCACTGTAACATCTCGATCGGTCATCGCCTTAGACCAATTAATGAATCTAACAATGAGTTAGAATTATTATGGAGTTTTAGGAAACCGTTTTGGCAGATCCAATACGGTACGATGGGCCGTCCGGTACGCACTGCGCATGCGCTATCACAGAAGACTCGCACATGCGCAGTTCGTACTGGAGGGCCCATCGTACCGTATCGGGTGTGCAAAAGCGGTCCCCTAGAACTCTCTATTGATCAATGCACGACCGGACTTTTTTTTTTTTTTTTTTTTTTTTTTGCTGCAATTCTTGGTTATTTTGTTTTCTAGATTTGAATGTTCATTTTCAGTATTTGTGTGACATCCCGGTAGTTTTTCGCGCAGATATTTTCTAAGAGAAAAACTGCAGTCGTACATGCGATAAGAAATATGAAATTAGAGAATAGAATGCATTCTCTCAGGCTTCCTACCGTGGCGGCATCATTTCAGAAACTTTTTTTTTTAATATATATTTATGTCTTTTTGAAACCGCGATGACCTCCACCATGTGGTCATTTAGAACAGTTTTGACACGTGCGTAATATGTCTGCTACAAACGCCCTGTGCTAGGTTCGGCAAGAAAGTAATCGACAATATAGCAAGTTTATGTGCACGACTGAAGTTGGCACCATGCACCTCGGCAAGATTGGGTGGGGGCTGCTGGGAGTTCATCCGAAAAATGTGTCTTAAATAAAGAACTGAATTGAGCAGACCCATGAAACGTAAACACAGTCTCAGTGCCAAGGCCATATCATGTTGTTTTTTCTCCCTTTTTTTTTGAATTAACAACTACGACCAACACACTTTAGATAGCAGCGTGTAGGTGGTTATCATAAATAAATATTGCCGGGATAAAAAGAAATCCTTGAAAATCCGCTGAATCAAATTCATACAACGCATACCCCCGATGCAGCGCCTTCGAAGATGAAGCTTTCATTGCGTGGCTTTGGAGGGTGGGTATGCATTCTCGCGTCAAAGGTAGCCTTTGTCCTGGGGGATGATAATGGCGGCACGGACAAGCAGTTGGAGCTTCTTTGCACTAACTACTGTGCACCTCGCGCGAATTCCTCTTTCTATGCTTTTGCAAACGAGACGAATCGATGGCAAAAAAACAATGTAGCTTCAGGCTTTTTATTTGTTTGTCCTTTTTTTTTTAGCAGAGGCTTTTTAGAACGCCGTGTTTGTCCAAAGCGTCATGTTTTTTTTTTTTTTGTTTTTTTTTTTTTAATTTGCTAGCGACGTTTGTATGAAGGCGGCGGCTCCCTTTTGAACGCGCCGCCTCTTTCACACACGTCTCGATTTTCTTGGAGAGGGTGCAGGCATCTCATTCAGCTACGAGCGTTAACTAGAGGGAAAAACGGCTTTTGTGAGAATTTCCTATTACCTTGACCGGAGGAATGTTCGCAGCACCTTCGCTGCTGCCTTTTATTTTTCCCGGGAAAAAGTGAACGAGGCGAACTGACTCGAACGGTGTGGAGCGCGTCTATTCTCGGATGTGGAATGTCGTACGCACATTTATCCATTTAATAACTTCTGTATACACACTTAGAAATGTGGAGCGTCTCCTCACCTACAAAGCGCCCGGAAGAGCCACCCGTTCCAATCTACGGACCAAGCTTGGCGGATGATGAGGCGAGACAGTCTACCCCGGGGCACTTGGCATAGTCAAACGTCTTGCTCATTTCCACGGGAGTTGCTGTGTGCACAGCGTCAACCGGGGGATCACATGATGCACCAGTGACGTCGTTCCTCAGCGCCACGCATTTCTGTTGGTTATAACGGAGGCGTGACTTTATAACCATTTGGTTATAATGGGTGGGATCACGTGGCTAAAGATCGACGCCTGATTGGTCCAGCGGGCACGTAGCTTCCTCCGCACTGTCAGGTTAGGGGTGAACAGAGTACAGACACCACCCGACACCTGCTGCACATTGCCCCCGGTTTCTCGTCCGCAGCACGCGCATGCCGCGCATGCTTGCCGAGTGATCGGATGGAGAGATGCGTGGCGCCTGTTCCCTTTGAATTGGGTGGTGATTTGCGCCACCTAGTCACTTTTTTTTTTTAATTTAGACTAAATCATGTTTAGGCCAATTTAATCAGATTTAACCTCTATCCGTTCCTTGATTTTACCCACCATTTTTTCTGATCTTTTACTGAGCTCTACCTCATCCAAACCCATTGTTTCACCGTTTTTGGCGACTTCCCTGACTTCCCCGCCCCCAAGCGGCTCTTTCTTTCACAATGGCCGCCGCGGCACCGGAGCGCCGGAGCCACCGGAGCCTCCACGCGCTCCACACGTCCGTCCTCGTCGTCCACGGCGCGATGGCCTTCCCTCGCCGTGACGAGGCCCGTAGCGTGCAGCTCCGAGCGTTCGGGGCAACGCTGGAGGCGCTGACGCGCTCGGGCGCGCGCGCCGACGCGGGCCGGCCGAGGTTGTTGGCCCCTGGGGACAATACGAGCGGCGGGGGGGACGGCACGGGGGGCCGACTGTCCGCCACGATTCCCTGGCTGGCCGGTCGCCGTGCCTGGCCGGCCTGGCTGCGGCCGTCCTCAGCGCGGGCGCATCTCCTCGCAGGCCCCGGCTGCTCGCAACTGGCGCCCTCGTCCGAGGGCAACGGCGATGACCGGGCGGCCGCCGGCTTCTTTCGAGTGGCCCAGGTCGCCGCGGGAGGTGGCGGTGGTGGAACCGTGAGCGCCGGCGGCAGCCTGGACTACAGTCGCTCGCCGGGCAGCCCGCTCGAGTGCGCCGCACCGCCGCCGCCTCTCCGCTTTCCCGGGCAGCAAGCCTTCGCGGCGTCCGACAACTTCCCCACCATCACCACCACCACCGCGGACCCGGACAACCGTGAGTACCCCTCTTTTCGGAGATAGCGGAGCGCAAGTTTGTCTGCTCCTTGCACAGGGGACGCGATGATGTCCGAACGCTGAGCTCTTATTGGCTGATTGAAAACATAAAAATAGTGGGTAGGCCTCGAGGCATCTAGCATCCAGGTCTACCCACTATCCCTTCAGTGAAAGCGATGCAGAGCTCGTTCTGACGTCAATACAACTCCTGCGAAAGAAGCAGAAGACTTGCTCTCCGAAGACCACTCAGTACGGCAGCCAGAGTTGCGCGTCTGTTTTCCACGTGCCGCCGCACCGCTATTCGCCGAGATCCGGTCACATGAGGAGCAGACTCAAATACCGTGCAGGAAAGTAGACGTTGCATGCATCCTGGTGAACATTCCCCTGATCTTGAGCGCGCCGCGCGCCTCGAACGCGCGGCGTCGCTGTTCGCTGAATTTATTCACGCGAGGAGCAGGTTCCAAATGCCGTGCAGGAAAGACGGCGCTACGGGGATGAACGCGCAACTCTGGCTCCTCCGACCCTCCCCAAGCGGCAAACACGCCGACGCTCGACGGCCGATTCACGCGACGGTCTGATTCGCGGACGGATTGATCACGTGACGACACGTCCGCGATAAGTCCGTCTGCCAAGCGCATTCACAGAAAGGAGGCGACGAGCAGACGACAGCGAGGACGGACCGAACGTGTTCTTGACCTCACAGTGCCGCGAAACTCCAACATCGCACGATCGCACCGTGGCAGCGTTCTCCCAGAGCGAAACCGACGTTTGCTACCGCCGAAAAGAATCGTGCGCCGCTGTTACGTGCAGAGAGCAATAGAGCACCGTGATAAGCTTAGCGCCCAACTAGGAGGGGCCATGTTGCAATATTGGTGAAGCCTAGTCATCAAAAGTTTAAACGATGGTGTGGCCAACGTGACCGTAGATCTCCCTGGCAATTGGTGCGCGTGACATGTCACGTGTGAAATGGATGGTTGATTGTAGAAGGACTCCTTGCTGGCTTGCGCGCGCTCCGTCCGGTAGGTTTTATCAGATCGAAGGCGAGACAAAGGCTAGCTACGGTTATGGTACTACTACTACGGTCATGTAATGTGGTCACGTTGGCCTGATAAGTGAGGATGGTGAGGAGGAAAATGAGAAAGGCGAGGCGTCAAGGGAGCATGGTTTGTGGAGGCTACGCGGCTGACGTTATGCCCTCTCCTACCCTTCTATCCTCCTTGTTAGCGCCCCTTGTTAGCATGACGACACAAGCATGATTCTGCTCGAGGAGGCTTCGACGTAGGGGCGTCGAGTCGCGCACAGTACTTCGTACACTACAGCCCAGTGGCGTAGCCTGGATTTGGTTTCGAAGAGGTGTGTCTGTGTGTGGAGGGGGGGGGGGGGGATTCCGCGGCGTTATCCCCCCCCTCCCCCCAGCACGAAGCAGGGTGAGCACGGCGGTACGTACGCTCACGCAAAGATTAGGGACGAACGAGTAGAGCTGCATTGACATTTTTGAAAACGGAGCAGGCTTCATTTACAGGAATACAAGCGTAGTGGCTCACTGTTCTACTGACGTCGTAGTTGCGGCCTACCAACTCTAAAAAGCTTCTTCACATCACACAACTCCCTCCCTCCGCTCTTTGAGGTACCACTGCATTACCAACGCGTGCCGGCCAGACAAAACAAAAATAACTATAGTGTCACAAAAAAAAATATATGTATATATGCATATATATATAAAAATAAATAAACAGAAAAAAAAAAGAGAAAAGCGTCGACGCTGAAAATTCAGATAAATTTCGCACAACCATTAGGGGCATGACTAGGGTCATGCTGGTGAGGGCCAAGCAATGTCAACTGCGGCAAGGTGCCGCAGTTGACATTGCACGCCGATGAATCATGGGAGATAAACCACGATTCTACGAACTTCCGCGGCTCCCACCTCTGCTCTCGTGGCAAGTTCGACGCGAAGTTGAAATCCAAAGCATGACCCGTCGTCAAGGAATGATCGATCAGGTCGGACTTCGCCCGTGTAGCGTGTGTTGAATTGGCAACATGTATTCTATGCGAGAAAGCTGCTTCTTCGTCTACCCGTCTCACCAATGTAAGTGGCGTCGCAATAAGCATTCGACTACAAAAAAAAAAAAGAAAGTGAAAGGCGTTTACAATTCCCTGTAACACCGAGTTAGAGCGCAGCTCTTGAGGAGGAGGAGGGAAGGATACTGGGGGGGGGGGGAGGTGAAGTGACCTTGGGCGGTCACGTGACGATGCCGATGATGTCATCAGTGACGTCACTGATGACGTCATCAGTGACGATGCGGACTCCGATGACGTCATCAGCGATGATGACGATGCGGATGTCGGTGACGTAATCAGTGACGTCACTGATGACGTCATCCGTGATGATGACGATGCGGATGCCGGTGAGGTCATCAGTGACGATGACGTCATCGGGGAGGTCACGTGACCTCGGCGGGGGGTCACGTGACCTCGGGGGGTGTCACGCGACTTCGGGGGGGGAGTCACGTGACCTTGGGATGACCTTGGGGGTCCCGTGACCTTGGTTACGCCGACGCTGCTCAAGCCGGGAACGGGCCCCTAAGAGCTGCGCTCTAAAAAGACAAGCCTGCTGTGTGCTTTGTTGAAATAAGCAAACTACACTAACAACGAGAGGGACAGGACAGAGCGTCTTCTACGCAGAGCGGAATGCTTCCAAAAAGCCCTACAGAACAAATCGGCGAAGCCACGAGTTGGAGATTGTTCGCGCTCTCCCTTTGCTCCATGGCCCGTGCAAAAACGACTGCGTGAGCAGGGGAGCCAGCGGCCCCCCCCCCCCCCCCCGTCCCCCCCTCCGGGGGGGGGGGGGGGGAGGGGTTTGACCCCCCGAACCACTACGTCACTGCTACAGCCACAAGGAACATCTTGCTGGGTTAAAGGTTGATTGCAGCGATGGTTGGTACACGTCCTGGCGAAGTCGTTAGGTATCGGCTATTTCATGTGTTTCCAGAGATTGCGTGCAGTGGGCATCGGGTACTGCAAAAGCACTAGCTATAGAGCGGGTTATTAACGCTGTGGTGTAGCTCTGCGGTAAAGCTTCCGCTTCGCACGCAGCGAACCTTTTCGTTTGTCCAGACGCAACCGACGCTACGATCTAATGGGACCATGCTCCTGTATACATGCTCTATCATGGCTGAACCAGTCATAAACAGAAAAGGCGTAGTGACTTGCGCTTTTGACGCTTCTTGATTGGTCACCTCGTAGCGTCGGCGTACGTCTGGACTTCTGAAACCTAGGTTCGGTTCCCGCGGACGGCGCACGACCTTTTTCGAGGATTCGGCTACATCGACGTCAGACGCCCTACATTGCCAACTTCTACAACGTCAACAATGGACGTCGTTTCCGGTGGTGGGAAGAACTCGTAACAGCTATCGCTGTAAAGGATCGCGGCGTGCTAGGCGAGTTTTGACAGGAGCTTCTTGACAGGGACCCGGAGGAGTACCGGAACCTGCGTCGCGTCAGCAGGGCAACGTTTCTGCAGCTTCTTTCACGCGCGGAACCAAGAATCCCGCGACAAAATGAGCCAGCGAACACACAAAACAATGCGCCTTCTTTGTTTTAATAATCCAGAAACAACGAAAACGCACCGTTTTCTTTGTAGCTCACTTTTGTTTTAAAGTTTTTGAAGTTTTAAATATGGTGTCATAGGCCGAGGGCTGTACCGTCAACTTGGCTCAATCAGTTTACCTGTAGTACCAGCCTGCAACAGTGTAGAAGGTGCAGGGCAGTGTGCTTCCGGCTGTGCTTTGAAATAAGCTGCTCTCGGAATCGGATACGGCGGTGTGCGGCTAGTGGAGGAAGATCGAACGCGGCAACCATTTGGCAGCAACAGTGAACGTGACGTCAATTGCGACAATATGGGGCAACCTGGGGGAAGTTTGGTGCTGTGAAACGAATGCTGGCTAAAGTTACTGCAGAAAAACGAAAATACATGCTCAAAACGTTGCGTTTTTAGGCTACCTGCTTGACTTGCTACGTGACGCCACCCGACTGCAAAGCGCGAGAAAATGTTTGTTTGGGCATAACCTTCATTGGCCATGTTGACCACGGCCACTTTGAATCTAGAAATAGGAAATATGGCAGTGTCACAAAAGAAAATTTACACGGTCTTTTTTACCGCAAAAATAAACTAGGCATCGCCGAACGCTCATTCTCCGCCCAAAGGTAGAGCTAGAGGTCCTACCAGATGCCAAAGTTTCAGCCCGATCCGATAACTTAATCAAAAGTTATAAGCGATTTTCTGAAAATTTCAGTGGGAAAATGGCAGCCGACGGAGTTTTCAAACACATGGGGCTGTATGGCACCAGAAACCGAAAACTCGCAAAAATGGGCTCCATTTTCCCATTGAACTTTTCAGAAAATCACTTATAACTTTTGATTAAGTTATCGGATCGGGCTGAGACTTTGGCATATGGTTGTGACCTCTAGCTCTACCTTTGGGCGGAGAATGAGCGTTCGGCGATGCCTAGTTTATTTTTACGGTAAAAAAGACCGTGTAAATTTTCTTTTGTGACACCCTGTAGGAATAGGAGATATGGCATGCCGGAAATAGTAAAGTTTGGCTATCCCACTTTCCCGCCCCCGTGCGCAGACCAGCACCGGAGTCCTCACCGCGGGTCCCCCGTCGCAGGTCGGGCGTCGCTGAAGCGGAAGGCGTCCGTGCCCGAGGCCCTGGCGCCCTCCCCGCCGACCCTGGCGGCGTCCACCATGACGGACCTGATCACCCGGGGCATCGACAAGTTTGTCGAGCTCGAGCACAAGCGGATGAGGCTGGAGCTGGACCTCCTAGAGCGGCTGCGCCACGAGGAGATGGAGCGGGTCGAGCGCATGCGCAGGGAGGAGATGGAGCACGAGCTCCGGCTCATGACCGTCATCGCGTCGCTCTTCAACAACAACAACTCGGCGAGCAGCGTGAACCTCAACAGCAGCTCTTCCACGTCCGCCGGAACGCAGCCGCCGTCGGGGGACACGTCGTGATGGTGGGGGCTTTTCGTGGACCGTTTCCGCCGTCTCCCGGCGCTCTCCGCAGCCCGCTACGAGGTCCAGAGCTCGGCAAGTGGCGCGCAGTAGCGGCGTCTTCGTTGCGAGGTGCGTAGCGGATGGGGGAAAGACAGTCCACGAAAACTCCCCGATGACGTGCCCCACCGACGGCGGACTTGCAGGGGACACAGTGTGTCCAGTGTGCGTGGTGCACGCGGCGCGACCAGTGGATATACTCGCAGCGCGGGGCGCCTGACTCCGGCTGCCCCTGGCTTGTGTTCCGACGCCGAGGACGGGACGCAAGCGTCACACATTCCAACGGCTACTCCGAATCTTCTTCCCGAAATTCCTGCGACTGTAGAACAGTGCTTTTAACCATAGCTGCGCGTGTCTTGTAAGTTATGTCGAAAGCCTACTTATTGTGTTTTTTTTCTCCTCATCGTTGTTTTTTTTTTTTTTTTTTTTTTTGTTCGCTCTCAGTTTCGTTTGATCTGTTAGTGGATGCTCTCAGGTGTGTTTTATTTTCGAACTGTCCTATTTTCCCCCTGTTGTCTTCCTGTAACTCATCAGTGCATGGCCGGACCATTCAGAGAGCTACCTCGCCTCTTTTTATTTTATTTTTTCTAATCGTTGTTTTTAATCTTTTTGTTGTTCGTGTTGTTCGTGACCGTTTCTGCGGTCGGCTCATTTCCTTAAACGTCGATCAAAGTTGTACATATGTTTATTTTTATTTTTTTAATATCTGAGAAAGAAGAGATGCCCAAATACCATAAGGGGCTATACTGGCTGATGATCGCACGGGCGCTGTTAAACATCCCGTCAATGTCCTTTTCTTTTTTTTAAAGATTATCTCGCCAGCAGTGCCTTCTTTACTCCCCTCCAGAGTTGACAGCTCGGTTGAATCTACGTGCATAGCTGGACCATTCGCGGCGTTGCCCCTTGTATCTCGTGACCCTGCTCTCCACGCTCACAAAAACGTGTAGACAGAGCGGTCGTGCGGGGAAAGAACTGCCGAGCGATTCAGCTACACGTCGTCTGCTATCAATAGTTCGAACGTAACCGACGATCCCGCTGGAGCCAATCAAGCGGCGCCAGGAGTGCATCGTCACTGCGCTCATCGTTAGGGGGCGCAAGTTACCGCCCGGTGTAAAGGGCAGAACCGTTAGCATCCATCCATCCAACCCTAATCCTGCGCGTTTTTTTTTTCCTTTCTTTCTTTCTGTGGGTGATTGATTTAGCCGATGATAGCATCCCTAGGCTTACCCACGAAGACAACGAGTGTCGTGACGATGCAGTTTTGGCGCTGCTTGATGGGGTCGGACTAAAAGTGAAACATAGTAAAGCACGTAGCGTCCATTGCAACGTTAGCTTATCGATGATCATATAGAGTGGGCACAACTTGCCAGCCTTTGCGCGTTCACGAGCAGCTATACATTTACATATCGAAGACATATTACGTACGATGCAGCGGGTGCTCCCTCTTTTGATTAAATGGCAATAAAGAAGAAGAAAAAAGCGGGCTGCGGGATTATTCCCCCCGCCACCCGCGAAGATGAGCAATAATTAAAAAAGAGGGTTGGGCTGTGGAAGCTCTATTATATTTTTGAAAGTTTTCTAGAGAGATTTCTTTTTTACCTCATGATGACCTTTCCATTGTGTACCGCAGCGTGAGGGCGTCCTGCCCCACGTCACGGCATTTACGCGAATGGACCGCAAAACGCGATCCATGGATTCATTCTGGCATCGTCCTCTGTCGCCATCTGGCGGACGAAAGTGCAAACAAAGTGTGTGCTACGAGTGACTATTTTTCTGGAAATTATACTTTCGTACACAAAAACAAAACGCGAGCCTTTTCTTATTTTTGTCCGAGTTGGGGAAAAGGTCCTGAGCCTTCTTCGTGGGAAGCTGACCGCCAATTAGTCAGAAACGGTTTGTAGCCGTTTTGAAGGGCGAGTACCAACGACAGTGGAACCTGACGGTAAGTTGATTGGAACACATTTTATGGCTAGGGCAAGCGGCTTTGACACCACTCCGCAGCGGTAACGCTACTCTGTATACATTTGGTAGGCTTCTTTGTAAACTGCGCGAGAATTTTTCCTTGTAATTTTAGATATATTGGGGAATTTATCCCGAGATCGATTTTATAACGTGCGAGCTAGAAAAATAGGCGCCTGCATATTAGCTAGCTCGAATGTTTACGGAAGGCATATTTTAATGGTGCATGTTACCTTATAATTTCTAATGGAATAAGCGTCATATCGATTGAAGAGGGTCCAGTTTGTTTGTGTGTACCTTGGAACTTGAAAGTGATACCGCCGAATGGCCGCAAAGTCAGAAATGACTGCGTTGAGGAGGAACAACGCTATACTTCGAAAGCTGGTCGGAATATTTTCCGCCTTTGTCCTGTGAAAGTTGGAAAGTTTCTCCTCACTTATTGCATTAAACGACTCGAAAGTGGACGTGCTCAAATATCAGCAGCCCAAATAGTTGGTCTCATGGTTTATATAAAAATTGCTTGGAGAAAAAAAAAAAAAAAAAAAAAAAGTCTGTGCATGTTTGTAATCGACTGAAGCCCATAGAGATTGCGCTAGCCACCGCTTTTCTCTAGTAAATCCCAGAAATTCATTCCGGAAGTTACTAGAGAAAAGCGGTCTCGCTCGTCGTCACAATTGTCAAACAAAACCCATACTTAAAGAAAAAAAAAATTAGAATGGTAATTTTAAAGTTGTCTTAGGAAGCAAGAAAGTCTCCGGTGCTACGATCTCTAAGTCAAAGTCAAAATATATTCGGGTAACCTATGGCATAAAGACAGATGTACTGCCTAAATCGAGTTGAAGTTTCGATAAAACAAGCCAGTGGAACTAGGGCGCCCTTCAAGATCTTCTTCACTGCATGCAGTTAAGCGGAAGTTTTACGCGCCCTGGCTTGAATTGGCGAGCTGCCAAACTCCTGAGCCGCGAACCAACTGCGCGTGTTTGTCGCAGTTGGTTCGCGCAAGAAAGTAAATAAAAAGCGACGAGGCGACGTTTCCAAAAGACTGTTATTCCGCATATCGTCACATCCGTTGCCAATTCTGCACGCACGCAAAAAGTTTAATAATAATAATTTAAAAAATTGCAATTTTTTGTTTTTGTTTTTTAATGCGCTCTTACCGTGTCACTGGTTGGGTGCAGTACAGGCGAAGGCAACACCAGGTGAGGGGAAAAGTACGAGCACTGTACTTCGTTTCAGCTTCGGTCCGAGCGCGACCGATGTTATAAGCAGAAGGGCCAATCAAAGAGCGAACGAGGCACAACGTCATGGCGTGCTCTCTGCAGTTGATAGGACCAGCCTGTATTCGTCGTCTCTCTGTGCGTGCTCCTCCGCCGGTTAGTCCTATCAAGCCCAAAGAGAACGCCATGACGTTGCGCTTTTTACGCTGTTTGATTGGCTCTTCGGCTCATCACATCGGCCGCGCTCGGACCGAAGCTGAAACGAAGTATAGGAAGGCCGGGGAGGAGGAGAGAAACCTACTCTCCTCTCTAACGTTCCTAGCGTTCCCCCCTCGCCCTCCATTGCCCTCCTCTCCCGTACCGCCTTCATAGCGCTCGCCCTTTCTCTCTCCGCGTGGCGTTGCCTTCGCCTGCACTGCACACAACTAGTGACGCGGAGTATAGGCAGAGGCGTTCAATGCTTCTTAAGGGGTATTCACACGAGGGAGAAATCCCCGGGATTTCTCTCTCGTGTGAATACCCCTTTACGAGGCTATTGCGTCAGATATACACTTTTAAACACAGCATAGCCGATTGTAACACTCCCCGAATGTTAACGCATCTAGTTTTTAAACCAAAGATAAATTCGAACGTGCCCCCGATATCGGTTTTATACCCGTACCCAAAACATACAACACACAACCAAAGATTTAAAAAAAAAAAGATAGTATCAAGGTTTCGAACATTTTGATGAATAAATGACCATCGAATCAAGGCATACACCAGGCATCAGCACAGGGCTGGGCGACTGATGTCCCCTCCAAACTGAAGAAAAGATTGATTGTAAAACGTTTATTCGCCGAAAAGAGCTTGGTGCTAAGAGATCGCGTTAAGTGGTCGGGAGTACATAGCCCTCCACGACTTTGTCAGCCCACTCCGCCGCCAGAACTTGGGTTCTGGGGTCAGAGCTGGCCAGCACGGTCTCCCCCCGCTCGACCCGGGAGTGGCTCTATTTTGCAATCCCATAGGATATGGTCGTAGTTGGCTCGTTGGCCGCAGTGTTTACAGTTTGGGTTGTATCATTGGTCAGGATAAACGTGCGCGAAGAGTTAAGGGGTGCGTAACGATCGCGTCTGGAAACGACGCCACGTAACCTCCTGTTCTTTAGTTAGACTTTTGTGCGGAGGGGGGAAGGTTCTTCTCTCTAGTTTAAAATGATTGGTTAGATCATGATATGTGATCATGGAGTCCTTCGTGGGATTCAGGAAGCCAGACTCATCCACTGCCCGGTCGACGAAACCTCGGGCTTTATAGTGGGCTGTCTCGTTTCCCGGATTCCCCGAATGGGCTGGGACCCATATCAGTGCGGAGTAATTAGGTGAGAATTTGGTGGCATTTAGGAGTATGGGGGAGGTGTCTGTAATTCGCCCTTTTGCGAAATTATTAATAGCCATTTTAGAGTCACTAAGAATGGTACTGCCTTAGGAGTGAGCTAGGGCGAGGGCTATAGCTGCCTCTTCTGCCGTTTCGGAAGATTTGGTTTTGATGGTTGCCGAGACGGTGTGGTCACCGTTCTCGTTCATAGCCACAATTGCAAAGGCATTTGTATGCTTGTATACTGCTGCATCCACATAAATTATTCCGTTGCGCTGTCCGTATTTAGCATGTAAGGCTTTGGCTCGTGCTTGTCTTCTGCCCTCATGGTGTATGGGGTGCATGTTTTTCGGAAGTGGTTTGACTTGTAAGGTGAAGAAAAGAAAATTACTTTATTTGAAAGATTTGAAAGCCGCGCCAAAACACTGAGGACACGCCTCGAAGTGTGCGCAGAGTTTATGGGCACCATTGAAAATAAAATAATCGTTTTCATTAGCGATAATGTTTGTTGTGATAAGGCGCTTCTTTAATGCCGTGCAAAAAGTTTTTTTTTATATGTTGGGAATTTCGGCGTTATTCTTGCAACACTGTTTTTGAAGTCGCGAATAAAAAAAGTAAGTGTAAAAAAGTGGGCGCGGCGCACGTCAGTCAGAATTTAGTTATTAGAAACCCCGCCTACGTATCATTTCTTTTCTAATCGGCGCTGCTATTTCTCTCTTTTTTGTTTTTCCCCTCAAATTCTATTTATGTGTATGAGTTTCGCCGTGACGTGACGAGAGCCTACATTTGAGAGCAAGCGACTGAAACCTGTGAGAGCGCTTGCAGATTCGCATTTGTGTTGCCGAGGGGCGGAGAGGAAGGGAGGAGTGCAAGGGCAAACGAAGCGAAAAGCGAATACTTCCTTTCTTCGTGTATTGCAAGCGTGGTGCCCGTAAACCACGTGATGCCGATCGAGCAAGAATCACTCTCAAATCAAAGCACTTTAGGCTTTCGTTGAAGCAGTAGTGCCATCTGTTGTAAAAAAATGTCACTAGTACAAAAATAATTACTCAAACTTGTTCAACAATTTAAGCATTCGAAATAAAATAACAAAATAAACGAGGATGAATTTATATCAGATTAGCATGTACAAAACTGCTCTAAAGAGCACTAAAATCTTATTTAGTTATCTAATTGCTAGGCAAGGGGGCGCAACCAACCACTACTTTTTTTACGTTTGAATTTTTTCATTTGATTCTCGGAGTTTTCGGTAGTTCTAGCTAAACCATTTTAGCACTTTTTTCTTAAAAAAAGAAAAAAAAAAAACGCGTAATTATTTTTTTACGCAAAAAAAAAAAAAAGAATCAATCACTTACTTAAAAAAAAAACAAGCCTTTCCTGACAAGTGCGTTTTGATCAGTCTATTTTGGTGGCAGTTTGTTCTGTTTGTTCCGTCTCATTGAGATCAGTGGTTTCGTCAACGGCGTCAACGGACTCATAGAGCCGAAAGCATTCCATCGTCGTCGTAAATTTATCCCCTCGGATAGAGCCTAGGATCTATCGGTTGTGCAGTGCGAGCTACAAATCCTGACCACGAGCCTGACTGGCCTAACTAGAGTCACTAAATAGGTGATAATATTCCCATTTGGCTTCAGTTTCGGTTTCGGAGCTTGTTTTGTACGCTCTCCGGCAGATGGCAGCACTGTCAGGGCTAGCTTTAGAGAGCCTAGATTTTAAAGAGGGTCCATCTAAAACCGCAGGGGGCGTTTGCAATTTAATGGCGGACGCCTCCGGCGGAGATTGGTCGCAAGTGCGCGTGCTCTGCGTTTTCGCGTGGCAAGGAGGAAAGCGGGCGGAAAGGCGGAGACCGCGGAGACGTTTCCAGATGATCAACGCTTTCGTCACCTCCTTGCAGCTCGTATTACAAACACGGCCCATAAACCACGTGACCACGATCGAGCAGTTGGACACTCTCTGTAATACAGGCTCTCCGTTATTTATTGTAATACCAATAAAACAGCAAAAAAAAAACAAAAAAAAAACGCACTTTTGCAGATGGCTTTTCAGCGCTCGAAATATGACGTGAGGTCCGCTTTAGCTGGTAAGGGTTGGGTAAAGTACAGGAAATTTCCGAGAAACGAGAACCGTGTTTTTCGGCCCGGTTAAATAAACTATGCATAGCAGAAAGCTCAAACTCTGTGAGGATGTGACGCTGGCGGTTGGGATAGAACGTGAAATAATTGAGAAAAACGAAATTTCTTTATGAGCCGACGTCCACCTAAGCGATCCAACAATTTT